GTGAATGTAAGATCTTCACTGCCCACTGGGGTTGCAATAGGAATTGGCATGGAGGAAGTCAGTCTAGACTGGGCCTTTTCACTAATACTTCAGATTGACTGGCACAAGCAAGGTGAGGGGATCAACATGACATGGTAAGGGTGAAGGGGGTGGGAACACAAGAGTGGAACAGTAGTTATGTGGATATGATAACGAGCCAAGGAAGAACTTGGGAGAGAGATGTAGAGGGCTGGGTCCCCTGTGAGATATAACAAAAAACAAACAAACAAAAAAAACTTTCTTCAAACAAATCAACACCATATTTCTGCCACAGAGTTAAGAAAAATAGTGATGAATCAACCCAAAATAATCTCCAAAGGAGCCAACCTTAAGATAGGACAAGCCATAGTCTGATTTCCCAGCATGTCCCTCCCACAAACCTAGGCCTGGTAGGGCAGACCAAGTGCCTCAGGAAAACAGAGAAGTTAGAAATAAGAACCCCCTCTTTTCAGGTAAAGGTGAAGAAAATAAGGCTCAGCACTTTAATTTAATAAATGATTTCTTGGCCTGTGAGGTCCATTGTCCCAGGATCCAGCTGTGGGGCCAGTCTTGCTGGGCTCTGGCCCAGGTGGGTCGGGGCTGCTGAGCCCAGGCCTCTGAGGGGTCCCAGACAGCTGGGCCCCTGCAGGAGCCTTCAAAGGTAAGTCAAGCGAGCTGGCGAGTTTTCCTAAACAAAGTGCGCACACATGCACAAGTACTTGATTGAAGACAAATTTCTATAAACATTTCCTTCTGAGCAAATGTGAAGGCACGGCCTTGCTTTTTCCCATAGACAAGGGGAGAAATGAATGGAGACAATTACACTCACTGGTTTGCTTTGTGAGATCATAATGTTTCATTATTTGCCAGAGTAATAACGTGCACATTGAGATGGATAAATTGTCCAACCTGAACACCAGGAAGCTTACAGGTCAACCCCTTATTACAAAAAGTCTCTGAATTCTTCTTCTCTGAAATAAGTTCTCTCTATGCCCCTAGACCAGGCTTTGCTGACAAGAGTTGGGATGTTTTCCACACTCCTCAGCTAAAGTCTTCATCTAAAGCAGAGATAGGCTCAGCTTCCTCCATAGAAGCTGTAAATGGGGACTTCTCGCTGCATATCTGTCTTCTGAGCATCCAGTGCCATGCAAGTCCCTGGGAGAAACATAGAGTCCCTGCCCTTGACAAGTTCATGGTTAGGGGGAGCCAGGTGCCAAGGCCCTGTCAGAGCAGCTCCTAAAATATGCTAGGCGGCTAGTTCAGAACAGCTTCTCAAGTCAGAAAGTCAAATCCTGCTTTAGTTCTGCCTCTTGACATGCGAGAGAAGTCACTTTTCTCAGGATCCTCTGTCCACAGTGTAATACATATAATTAGAGAATTACTTAATATCTTTCCTAAATGAGCTACAGTTGCATATGCCCAGATATAGTTTAATGACTCAAATTAAAAGCAAATACAATCCCATTCCAGGTCCTCTTGGGTAAATTCCAAGCACCCTTTCCCACCACTCTTAAAGGTCATTATTATACTTCTTCAGTGTCCTCCAAAATGCAATGCACAGTTCAGCAACTATTTGCTAAAAGAATGAGTTAATGACTCAAGAACCAACATTGGGTGAGCTGGGGTTATAGCTCAGTGGTAGAGTGTTTGCCTTGCATGCATGAGACCCTGGGTTCGATCCTCAGCACCACATAAAAATAAATAAAAATAAAGATATTGTGTCCATCTACAACTAAATATATATGTATATGTAAAAAGAAAAAAAAAAAAAACATTGGCTCCCCATGCTACAGGGTCTAGCATATAACCACACCCTCCACTGTCATAACCTCTGTCATTTTTGCCTGCTCGACCTCCATTCCCTTTTTCCTAGTCATGGCTTCTCATCTGGCTTTGGCAAACTATGGCTCTCTGTTGGATATAATCACAGCCAATTCTTTTACACGAGTCGAGAAACACAGCATCAGAATTTCAATCTTGAATGTTCTTGAGAATGGTCAGAGGTCAACCAAAACTGCAGTATCCTGAAGAGATTACCCATTGATTCTTGGTGCTTGCACCCAAGGATCTACACTGGTACCTGTCCTCTCTAAAGCCTATATTTCCTGCTTTCCCATTATTTCTGAATCCTGCCTGCATTTCTTTTTCTTTTTTAATATTTATTTTTTAGTTTTCGGCGGACACAACATCTTTGTTTGTATGTGGTGCTGAGGATTGAACCCGGGCCGCAGGCATGCCAGGCGAGCATGCTACCACTTGAGCCATATCCCCAGCCCCTGCCTGCATTTCTTTATTGCTTAAATGAACTAGAGTTCTTGCCATAACTAGAGTTGATTTCTCTTGCCTACAATTGAAGTATTCTAACTGCTCTATACACTTTCAGTTTTAAATTGGGATACCAAAAGAGGGACTCAAAATCTGGTCCAACTCTTTTGTTTCCCAGACCATCAGACTCAGAATTGAAGCAATTGAACAAAATCCTAACACTGATGGGTGAAAATCAATCCAAAGACCCAGGACAGCTGGCTCCCTGTCTACAAGTCCTTCCACTTTTCACCATTTCTTGTCCTCAGATATTCTCTCCTACAGTTAGTGCCCACAACTGTAGAGCTCAGTAGTTTTCACAGTGGACATATAGTCCACCACGCCTGAAATATTTATTATCTAGCCCTTCCCAAAAAGAGTTTGCCAACCCCTGCCATACATCATATATAAATGAATGATCTGGTGTGTTCTAATAAAACTTTATTTATAGACACTGAATTTTAAATTTTACATCATTTTCTAGTTTCTCAGAATATTCTTTTGGCTTTCTATAGCACATTTTAAAATATAAAAACCATTCTTAGTTCATGGCTTATACAAATCCAGGTGGTAGATTGGATTTGACCTACAGGCTATAGGCCACCCATTCTAGTTTAAGCCAGTTTGAATTAGTTTCTGCTACTTTCGATGAACTATAGTAATTGATACAGTAAAATTATCCATATATTTATTGATCATTTTACTACATATGAGGCATACAATGAGGAATAAATGATATAATCCCTTCCCCCAAGGACCTAACAATATATTTAGGGACTCAAGGCTTCCACAAACCACCACTTACTAAGCACTTATTACAATGTACTAATTGCCTTACTTTTTAGATGTATTATCTCATTTAATCTTCATTAACAATGGGAAATGTCTTATTCCCATGTTAGAGGAGAAGAAATTGAGGTTCAGAGAGATCAAGTACTGGCTTAAAGTCACATAGCTAGCAAATAATAGAATGAAAACTGGAACCCAGGTAATGTGAAGCCTGAGGATCCAAACCCTGTGCCCAATGAACCCTGCCTAGTGTGGCTCCCACCTACACTGTGATGCCCACCTTCCACCACCTGCCTTCTTCTGCCAGTCTTCCACAGACCAGAGCATCACTGAAATGCTGCTCAGCCCTCTATCTCAGGTCTTTGAACACCCCAGCCACCAACTTGTCCCAACTTCACCTTCTCAACATACAGCACCTGATGTCTCATCACCCATCTTGAACTTACACAGGGCTTTGATGGTTATTTGAGTTCTTCTGTGTCTGTTCTGTACTATTGGTGTCAGGGGTGAGAAAATCTCTCTGCTTCTTTGGTGACCCTCAGGGGCAAACACATAGTAAACTAGAAAAAAATCAACAAAAGAATGCAATAAAAGGAGAAATCGGGAATCTAAAGAAACAATCAAGAACCAAAACATTGCCAAGTGTGGTGGGATGCCCACCAGTAATCCACAACTAAGGAGGCTGAGGAGGCAGGAGGATCACCAGTTTGAGGGCAGCCTGGGCAATTTAGCAAGACCGGGTCTCAAAATAAAAACTGAAATAGACTGTGGAAGTAGTTCAGTGTTAGAGATCCCCTAGGTTCAAAAACCAGTATAAGGAGTGAGCAAGGGGAGAAAACCAAAACATCATCACCTATGAATAAGAAAAAAGGTAAGGCACAAAAAGACCAGCCTTAAAAGTGAAACATATCTGGAAATACTTGAGTTTAATCAAAGGGAAAGACATGGACTAAAGCAAACACAAAGAAATAAATCAAAATAAAGGATAAATTGACATCTTTTTCTGAAAGAGGAAATTCCTCTTTACACCCAAAAGAAAAGAGAAAAAATATTTGAGAACATAATTAAAAAAAAAAAAAAATTCCTCCAGTCTCAAAGAACACTTGAATCTACAGATTTAAAATATCCACCCTAGGGCTGGGGTTGTGCTCAGAGGTAGAGCACTTGCCTAGTAAGCCTGAGGTACTGGGTTCGATCCGTAGCACCACATAAAAATAAAATATTGTGCTCATCTATAACTAAAAAATAAATATTAAAAAAAAACTCTAAACTAGGGAAATTTGATATGAAAACCATCAACAGGACTTCTAAGAAATCTTCATCAGTTTTGATGATTCCAGTTACTCTAGAGGCCAAAGTAGGAGGATTGCAAGTTGGAGGCTAGACTGGGCAACTTAGTGAGACCCTATCTCAAAATTTTAAAAAGTAAAAAGGACATATAGCTCAGTAGTAAAGCACCAAAGAACAAGGCTGGGTGTGGTGGTGCATACCTGCCAAGTCCAGTGACTTGAAAGGCTGAGGCAGAATTGCAAGTTCAAGGCCAGCTGCAGCAACTTAGTGAGACCCTGTCTCAAAAAAGTATAAATAAGGGCTGGGGATGTGGCTCAAAAGGTAACGCGCTCGCCTGGCAGGAGCGGGGTGCTGGGTTCGATCCTCAGCACCACATAAAATAAAATAAAGATGTTGTGTCCACTGAAAACTGAAAAATAAATATATTAGATATATATATATTATTTATATATATATTATTTATATATAAATATATATTATTTAATATATATTTATATATAAATATATATTATTTAATATATATTTATATATAAATATATTATATATATATATATATATATATATATATATATATATATATATATATATATGGCTGGGAATGTGGATCAGTAGTAAAGTGCCCCTGGGTTCAATCCCAAGTACAAAAAAAAAAACCAAAAACACACAAGAGAGAGGGAATTCTTCAAGCATTCATGAAAACCCAGGACCCAACGAAAGGAAACCATAAACCCGGCTTTATCCTTCTGACTAACAGCATTCAGTGCCAGAAGGTGATGGAGGGGTGCCTCCAAGGTCCTGACAGGAATCAGAGAGCTCCAGCAGGTTACACTGGGCAAGCAGTCCTTCTGAGCAGAGAGGGAACAGGCAGTTCTGTGACAGAACTGGAGGAAAAAAGCATCCATGGCCCTTCCCAATGAGGCAGAAAAGATAAGAAAAAAACTACTTGACTATTAAATACAGCTAGTCAAGAAATTGACCAAATTAGAGAATTAGTAAGTGAAAGCCTTGATAAAAGGACTAGCAGTAAACATTGAATCCAATTAAATATCAAGTGAGGACTTACCCTCTGGAGTAATAAACAGATGCAAATCAGAATGCAGATGCTATAGACCCAAACAAATTAAAAATCATAGAAGCAACAGGAAGAAGCCTGAGAGCACTGTCATTTTTCATCACATGGCAACTGGTCAAATCCAACCATGCACCCGACCCTTCCATTGGTTTGCTTTTTTTTTTTTTTTTCAGAGTGGAAAGTTAGAAGTTTATTAAAGGACAGCAGAAAAGACTTCTCTCGGAGGAAGAAGGGGACCCAAGAGATAGAATCCATGGAAGTGCGGTTGTCTCTCCATTTTACAGTTTTCGGTGATGGAATGTAGGTGGGAAGGCCCAAAGGGTTGGGACACAGGTGGGCCAAAGAAGTAATCTGGGCACTTCCGAGTCAGCATCTTCAAGTTTGCTGTTCATTAACATTTCTTTGGGATGGGCTATCTTTAAATCTGCTGGGGCTGTTCATTAACACTTCTTTGGGATGGACCTTGGCCTTGGGCTTTTTCCTGGACTTCATTAACATTCCAAGAGAGTTGCTCAATTCATTCTCAACATGGCCTCCATTTAGATTTCACTGGATATTAGACCCGATTTACCTAACTACACTGATTACCTAACTTTAAATCTGGCTTCGTTCCCCCCTCTAATTTTGGGAACTCCTTACTGCTGTAAGGAAAGGAGGCAAAGATCGTTCTGGCTTCTTCAGGCTGAAAGGGAATGATGTTGGGCAAGCAGTTTGGAGTCCCCCTTTAGAAATCGGGTCTATGGAGTGGTCCATGATAGAAGTCTGATTGAGAAGTAATAGGCTGGAGGGCCATTTGAGTGGATGGGTGGCCTATAAGAGAAACAAGAATTCATTAGTACTGGAACCAGATTGATGGAGCAATAAATGCCACAGCACAGGAATATGCCAATGAGTATGATGTCAAAGACAGAGACTAACAATGTTTTCTACCAGGAAGTAACAGAGACCCAGGAGCTAAGATCTTGTTCCCATGACAAAGTTGGTGAGGACATGGCTTCTATCTGAGCATGTATATCTTTAAGGATATTTGTCACATTGCCAGAATTGTCAGGGATGTAAACACAACATTTAACTTTTAGGGTTACAGATGTCCTTCCCCTTAAGATACAGTTTAATAATTTAATGTCATCTGATCTTGAAAAATCCTTTTTCTAGTATGACCTCTGTGTCTAATAGAGAAACCTTTAATTTTGTTACTCAGGGCTGGATAATCATACTAGCAAACACCAAGCCTACCTGTGTAGGTTAGAAATAGCTGTAGGCCTTAAACTAAAAACTACTCTGACAGTTCCTTTTTAATAGTTATCAGGCATTCTTGCCTAAGAATCTCTTTTGTAGCCTCCAGTTTACTTATTCTTGGAAGTTACATTTAACTATTATTATTATTTAAAATGCCCAGGAATAGCTGTGTTTTGGTTTTAACTGTCTTTGCTAAGTGTTTAAGATGAAGCAAGTCAAACTGACTTTTGTTTCTATCTATGGTTAACAGTCAGCTGAGTTTCTCTGGGAGTCTTGGGGGAACTTTACAGCAGCTTCTCAGTTCCGCTAGTGCCATTTGTGCTAGGAAGGGTCCAGGCCTTGCTTGACCATGTGGCTTCCCTTGGAAGCATCAGGGATGTCTCCCTTCTCTGATGACCCTCCTCTTCATAGCAAATGCACTGATTGGCTTTCTGTTCTCCAGTGGTCTCATTAATCTCCCTGATCAGGAGGTTATGTGGCCCAGAGTTGCAAAGCTCTTTAGAGAAGTCCCCTGTTCCCTGGATTCAGACTGACTCAGAGGGCAAGAGCCAAATATTGGTTTTCTTGGCCCTTTTAACTTAACTTTAATTTTAAAACTTAAATCTTAAACATCCAGCAAATAAATTTCAACAGCTTTATATTAAGAGTACTGGGCTTTAATGCCTATCTCTCTATCCTGTAGGTGATAATGAGTTATCTTAAATCAACCCAAGTGGGCTGGGGATGTGGCTCAAGCGGTAGCTCGCTCTCCTGGCATGCGTGCGGCCCAGGTTCAATCCTCAGCACTACATACAAACAAAGATGTTGTGTCTGCTGAAAACTAAAATTCTCTCTCTCTCTCTCTCTCTCTCTCTTTAAAAAAAAAAAAAAAAAATTAAACTAACCCAGGTTGTGTGTTCTTAAATCAGTACCTCTGCAAAACATTAACAGGCAATCTTTAGACAATTTATAAGAAAACTACAAAATAAAATTAACAAGAGTAAAAACATAATTAGTTCATGTAATAGCTACCTTGAATTTTGGCAGAGTTATACATTATAATCCCCTGTTTGAGATTCTAGTAATCTTGACAAAAACCAACTTTTGGACACAACTTTAAATGTACTAAATCTGGCCTACTTCTTTCATAGTCATTTTTACATGTTGTGAGATAGGACACAGAGCCTTATTTCAGGTAAGGCGGGGTTCTTCATAAATCTTAAGTACTATAGTTCTGAAGCTGATCTTTGTTTTTTAGACATAATTTTATAAAGCCTACATAAATTCTTGCTCAAGTTTACAAAAATATTAACTAACACAATATAATATCACATCTAAAATATGAATTAAAGAAAGACTGAAAGATTTTAACATTTTGTAGAAAAGTAGCAAAGTACTTTTGTGTTTTGCAATAAAACTTTTACACAGATTAGGCTCTCATTAACTTAAAAATACATTTAAATTGTATCTTAGTGTAAAACGTAACATAGAACTTTACATATCTTATTGATAACAAGTCTAGTTATAGAACACAAATGATATAAATAAATATCCAACATGTTTTTCTTTTAAGCCTAAAATTACCGTACAACTTTAGAACACCAGCTTGATATAATGCTCTTTTAAAGCTTCTACCTTACAGACTTGAATACCTGTAAGATATGAACACATTAATAGCACCACAATTACATTGATGTTTTTATATTAACCAAATTTAGCTTTTAAAGAAATAACATAGCATAATTCTCTAAAACAACAGTTCTTGTTTAACCAGCTATTTAATTTCTTTAAGATTACTTGCTCAAAAAACTTACATATATAACCAACTAACACAGACCTTCTTTATCACTTACTAAAACCTTCTTATTTACTTAATCACATGGACTCTCTTATCCAGAAACATAGACTAGCAGTAAACATTGAATCCAATTAAATATCAAGTGAGGACTTACCCTCTGGAGAAATAAACAGATGCAAATCAGAATGCAGATGCTATAGACCCAAACAAATTAAAAATCATAGAAGCAACAGGAAGAAGCCTGAGAGCACTGTCATTTTTCATCACAAGGCAACTGGTCAAATCCAACCATGCACCCGACCCTTCCATTGGTTTTCATCATCTTTTTTTTTTTTAACCTTGGAATGATATTTTAGAAATGAATATTTCTTGTCATTCAGGAGTTATAATATTTCAAGTTCATTAATATTATGTGATTCCTTTCTTCTGTTCAGATAAACCTAGACCTAATGCTTTTACTAATTTTAAAAGCATAAATAATATGATCATGTTATTATAAGATCATTTCTGTTGTCTGCTCTCTTTCTCCCTTCACACACACACACACACACACACACACACACACACACACACGGTATATGTACAAATCTGGAGTATATGTATCAAGTATTATTCACTGGTTATTTTTGGACGGTAATAATAACAATAGCTGATTCTTACAAGTTATTTTAAGTACTGTACATGCATCTACAAAGTTAATCCTTATAAGATTCCTAAGAAGAAGATATTACCATCACCCCCATTTTACTGGTAAGGAAACTGAGGCCGGGCACTGTCTCCTGCTGTTAATACATGGTAGAGCTAAAGGATCCAGCCCAGAGATGCAGGCTCCAAAATCTGAGCTCTTGACCCACCTTTGCTTCTCCACAGATGGGCAGGTCATTTGTTGCTTTCCTTGTTCTTGAATTTTTAAGTGATGATCATGTGTCATTTTTAAAAAGAAAAAGAAATTACCAAAAAGCAGAAGCTTCAACTCCCAGGTACTTACTACCCAAGCCAAAAGAGCAGAACCTAACCTCTCCTGTCCTCCTGCCTCCACTAATCAAGGCAGACTCCTTAAAGGGGGTAAGTGGTGGGTAGGGAATAGAGGATTAACTCCTTAACAACCTGCCACAGCTTTAGAACAATAGGTGGTCTGAAACTTTAACGATAATCATTGCAAAAGGATAAATCAAGATTCAGAACAGCATACCCATGTTTTATTGGCTCTGGGTAGATTAGCTGGGAAGAAATAAGCCTCCTTAAGGGATCATCTCTGTGAGAGAAGAAAATGTGTCATAAAACAGGAGGTCGAAGAGATCCCCGGCACACAGCCACCCACCTAGGTTACCATACCTCTGACAATTTGCCCACTGACACAGCTTCATTTAAAAATGACATAACTTAACCAGTGTGATCTATTCCACCGTCCAGGTGCTATATAATAAGAGTGGTAATGGGAAGTAGCTCCCAGGAGGATGGAGAAACAGCTGTTTGTGTCCCCTGGGAATGGCACCCACCTACAATCCCGTCTCTTTGACAACAATTCCAAGTCCCCCTGTCACTGTCACTCACCCACAAAATTAATGACTAAAGGGGAGAAGGACCGCAAATGCCTAGCCCCTGAAACAGAGAGAGAGGAGAGAGAGAGGGACAGAGCAAGTTAATAAATAAAACAAGAGCCTGAAGGGAAGAGCTGCTTTGTCAGAATATAAATATTTCCCTTCCCCTTTTATCTTTAATGTAGTGTGAGAAGCTTATTAAAGGGAAATGCCTCCCGTCCCTGGAGCCCTCGCACAAGCCTTGCGGGAAGCAGCCTGCAGAACGGCTGGCCTAGCCCCATGCTTCTAAACTCTTCCCTGCTGGAAGTGAGCGGAAAGCACAGAGCAATAAAGAAGGGCTGGGGGAAGAAAGGGAAGCCATTGTGGCCATTAGGATCCTTATCTTGATGGGCCTGGTGTCATGTTATGTTAATCGCTCTGAGATGCTGAGAGACTGAAGATGAGGAATGCCTGTCTGCTCAAAGGCCTGGCCCCATATTCCAGGAGAGGCTGACACTGCTACGCTTAGCCTCTGTGCATTAGAGAGCAATATCCAAATTTAGACAAAGGGGAATTGTCCAATGGAGTGTGAAGGGGGGAAGCCTGTGGATATTCCTCTGAGAAGCACCCTACGCCCCCACCCCCATAGCTGTACACCTCACATCTCCAAGAAGAGAGCCAACACAGGCAGAGCTAGTATCCAGCCAGCAGCATCCTATTCCAACTGCAGAGAAAATGTTCACCCTCCACATCTCCTTCCTAAAAGTCCTAAAAGGGGGCTGAGATGATCAGAGCTTCATACCAGCTCAGGCTAACACAGAGTTTTGCACAATGAGTCTGATTAGCCTGACATGGAGACTGAGTTGGTCTTGCTTACCACTGTAGCTACAGGCCTGGCCCACGTGTCTTTGAATGGATGTTTGAACACACAATTAGCACAACAGAGGCATCTTTATTTTATTGCATATCTTTGCCATTTCTCCAAAGATCTTCGGTTGGGGGTCAGGATTTGGGTTCTACCAGGTTTTGGGGCTGTCATCATTGCTGACCTTTTGGAAATTCTTGGCCATGTGACCACAAAAGGATAGATAATAGGCCATGAATCCATTGGGTGCCATAGTCAAACTAAAAGCTGGTAGTTGAGGGGAGAAAGGGACAGAAGATAGCTAAAGATTGCTGTCAAAGGTGCTTCTTCTCATTCCTTTCCATGAAGCCCTCTAGGGGAGCTGGCTTGGTTGCTTTAGTACTATATCCACCTGGCAACTTTCTTAAGTGTTCTGATTTCTATTATGTAATCAGTGGAGAAGACAAACACTTCCAGCTCTTTCATGTCCAGACCAAGGTATTCATTTATCTCCTTGCCTTATCTGCTGCCATCTTTCCTGCTGCAGAACCGCTTTTCATATCACTGGGGTCCTTCATCCTCTCCATTTTTATGTCTTTCTGTGTCTCATCCTCACTAATTTTTTTGCACATGGTTCCCTTTCCTAGGGAACCTCATTAAGTTGGAATAAAGATTCAGCTATAAATCAGAGGGTCACAGTCACAGCTATTCCACTGTGCTCCCCAATTTTAGGACCAAATACATCTTATAGCAACATCTATGATACAGGGTGGCATATAATTCAGGGATGATAGGACCACTCAGCTAGTTCCCAAGAAATTCTTGCCCATGGTTCTAAATATTGCCTGGGAGCTATTTGCAATACCTGATTTAACATTCCACCCCCTCCATAAGCTCCATCCAGCCTCCCCTTGGCCTCAGCTGCTTTGGGGGCTTGGAACCATGAGAGGGCCTATTTCCAGTGTTCCCACAAACGATGCGCAGGAAGAGGCATGGGGGCGGGGTGGCACACATCTGTGTGAGAGCGTTTGTATGGAAGGGGGATTAAATTTGTACTGTGAAGATCAATGGAAGCCTTGGGGAGGCAGATTTTAGTTCAATATAATGAAGGACTTTCTAACAATTAAACTGAAAAATGAAATGGGAACCTTTAAAGATAGCCTTCTCTCCCTGGAGTTCAGGTAGAGGTGAGATTTTGCCAGCCAGAAAGGTTAATTGGCCAGAGATACACACACACCTGATATGCTGGTGTGACCAAGTGGTAGCTCCAATGCTAGAGCAGGACTGCCTGGGTTCAAATTCCAGCCCCAAGAGTTACTAGCTCTATGATATTGGGCAAATTATTCAGCCTCTTTAAGTCTCCATTTCTGCATCTAAAAAAAAAAATGGAAATAAAAACATATTAGACTTTTTAAAGCAATTATGAGGTTTTTTTTTCTACATTTATCAAAAGAATGTGAGGTTTTTTTGGGCTGGGATTGTGGCTCAGAGGGAGAGCGCTCGCCTCATATGCACACTGTGTTCGATCCTCAGCACCACATAAAGATAAAATAAAGATATTGTGTCCATCTATAACTAAAAATATATATATATTATTAAAAAAACAATGTGAGGTTTTTTAAAGAATAAGATGGTATTTTTAGAGCTTGAGGTGTTCAAAGTCTTTAATGTTTATAGAAGCCATAAATGAGAGACCACCGTTTTTCACTTGGTACACCATAAAACAGCATTTTTATAACTGTTTGTTTGTTTCCTTTTTTTGTTGTTGTTTTTCCAGTGCTGGGGGATGAAACTGGGGCCTTGCACATGCTAGGTAAATGCTGTCTGAGCCATACCCCTGGATTGTAATTAATTGGTTTTGTCTGTTCTTTTGTTTTGTTTTGTTTTGTTTTGTTTTTTATAGATGGTAAGGCAAACTTTATTCAAGAGGAGGCCATGGTGATAGGTCTAGGGACCACTGCAGTTTTGTAGTGGGGGACAGAGTTTGGGCCCAACTCAGACAATTAATTGTTATTTCATATACATAAACACAAACTTCAGTGCTTTAACTTTCAGAAATTATGATGGGAAAATGATCTTAAATTAAAAAAATTAGGGGCTGAGGATGTGGTTCAAGTGGTAGCGCACTCACCTAACAAGCTTGAGGCACTGGGTTCGATTCTCAGCACCACATAAAACAAAATAAAGATATTGTGTCCACCTAAAAATAATAATAATAAGTATTTTTTAAAAATTTAAAAAATTAGTATGTAAAGAAAGATAGAAAGCAACTTTATTTTATTCAATACATATTTATTAAAAGCCTCCTGGGAAATAATAATATGGTTTGGATGTAGACACTGCCTACCAGGGATTTTCCAGGCCAATAACTGCTTCTGAGTCTTTCACTTGCAAAGATGGACAGGATTCCAGAGGCTTTCCGCCCTCCATGGAGCTACAGATAGAACCCAGGGCCAGGCCAGTACTCTACCACTGAGCTACAACCCCAGTCTAGATTCCAGAATGCTCTGAGGGCATTTCTAATTGGCTTGTATTCCAAATGAAATAGAAAGGTCAAAAATAAAAAGCAAAGTTGAGCTGGGTGCGGCAGTGCTCACCTGGAATCCCAGCAGCTTGGGAGGCCAAGGCAGGAGGATCATGAGTTCAAAGCTAGCCTCAGCAATGGCGCTAAGCAACTCAGAGAGACCCTGTCTCTAAATAGAATATAAAATAGGGCTGGGTATGTGGCTCAGTGGTTGAGTGCTCCTGAGTTCAATCCCTGGTACCAAAAAAAAAAAAAAAAAGCAAAGTTGAACAAGGTGAAAAATGTACCATTGGGACTTCACTTTTTCTGTTTTCCACCAGAAGGTCAGCTGCTCTGAAGACTTTGATTATTTTGATAAACTCTATGTACATAGTGCTAGGAAGGAAGGCTCCCCCCCGCTTTCATTCATACCTAGCACAGTTCTTGGTTCTGAAAGACCTATGCCTAAAAAGGACATGCGTAGAAATAAACATGGGAGGCCCAAAATATCTTTTCTATGGGGTGTAAGTATCCAGATTTGGAAAAGAAATCTTTCTTTTCAACAGCTCCTGTGGTCTGTCGCAACTTATAAATAGACATCTTTTCAGCTTACTAGTTCATTGGAAATATTCAGATGGAAGCCTGCCTTTCCTCTGGCCCGGCTATTCCTACAGTATTTTCATTCTCAACTGAGCATAAAGGATACCGGCAGCCTTCTGAGAAATCAGAAACTTCAGCTCCCATCTTCCTAGACTGAACTGCCTCTTTAAGCAATGACCAATAATAATTACCTTTTATTGAACATTAATGGCATGCCAGGTGCTGAGTTCATTGTGCTATTGCATTTAATCCTCACAATCTTATAAGGCAAGTGACATTATGATTACCAATTTACAGATGAGGAAACTGAGCTCCAGAGAAATTAAATAGCTTATCCAAAGCTACATAACTAATAAGCTACTAATCGAGGAGTCAAACCCACAAACCTGGGTTGTCAGTCAAGCCTCTCAAATCGTATCTCCAAAGAAAGAGGAAAAGAGTCCCCACGATATGATACCAAAACTAAGAGCTTTAAAAATGGTCATGGAAAAACTCCCCCACTCCTCCTAGCAGAGTGAGAAATGTGAGCTGGTTACGAGGAAAGGTGTCCTAAGTACCTGACACTGACCCAGCATCCTATGAATATCCTGCTCTTGTGATGTCCTCTTAGAGACAGACATGTGTCCTCACCTAGGCTTCTGTAAACAACAGGAACTCACCCTTCTCTTTGCTGTCTGGGGGCTTTCTCCAAGCCAGAAAACACTTAGGCACCTGGCTGGCTCATGCTGTTAGGAGCAAATTAAATTTCTTCCCTTTTCTTCTTTCCTTCCCACAATTTCCTTTCTTCAAAGAAAGAACGGAGCTCAAAGTTTCAATCCTTTTCTTACTGCTTATGTGACACTGGACCTCTACATACCTTGATTTCCCCATCTTTAAAATGGGTTAAATAAAGGGTAGCCACTTCCAAAGCCTGCTGTGAAGACAAGGAATTAAGGGGGTCAGGTTAAGGGCTTAACGCAATGCCATGCCTGACAGGGGTGAGTAGCAGATAAATGTTAGCTACTAATAAAAATAGTAACAATATGACTAATATTAGACACTGGAGTCAGTCAGCGGGTTTAGCCTCCGCTGTTAGCTGGAATTTAAGTCAGGACATCACCACCCTGGGTGCCAAAAACACAGCAAGACCAATATGGTCCTCAGAACTCAGGCTTTAAAATCATGGGCCATCTCTTGGAGCCTGGACCAGCTTTACAAATTTAAGGCTGGGGGAAGAGGAGGAGTGAAGTTTCACAAGTAAACCAAAGTGCCTTTTGCTAGAGTGAGAAGTCTGTCGCTTCTCTTGTTTACCTCTTCTCTAAATGCTTCCTCTCCCATCTCCGGGGGCTGTTTTGACTCTTCCATTTTGGCAGCAGCTCTTCACAAGTCTGCTGGAGGCCCCAGGAATAGGCCAGCAGCCCACTGCCCGGCTCAGACAGCCAACAGGAACAGCCACCTCCCTCCCCTGCCGCTGGGATCAGGCTGGACCCCAACAGCGGCTTCTCCGCCCTCTCCCAGTGAAAGGCCCAGGTGTGAGGGGTCAGGACAGAAGCCACCCTGCGGTGGCTTAGACTAGTCGCTCTGATCTTTTACTTTGGAGCTCCTGCAAGCCATTTCTAGTTTGAGAGGAGCAGGAAGTAGAGAGCACAAAGTCAGGCCATTTTATGTGCAAGGTTCTTGGATAAAACAGGGTCCCAGGAACCAAAATGTGTGGATTCCAGTCCCAGTTCTGTCAATCCTTGGACAATTCACTCCACCATCTGGGCCTTGAGCTTTCTTACCTGTAAAATAAAAGGAAGGAATTACTGGACTCTGAGGTCCTTACTGAAAAATAAATCCCTGACTCATTCTCCAATTCACCCTCTCCTTTTTAAGTCACAGGATAGGCTGGCTCCCTAGCTCAGTGCTGAAGTCTCATTATAATTTTGAGACCAATTCGAGGTCACAGCAGAAAACCACATTCATCTGTTAATCAAGATGGTAAGATTCAGGAAGGCAGAGACATATGTGCCCAGCCTCTGGCTCAGAGCTTGACACTTGGTAGGCTCTAAATAAAGGCCATGTGGTTTTATGACTCCTTTTTCAAGTTAAGCTATACCTTACTCAGTCACTCAGTCATTTCTTGAGCACGCACATCCGCCTGGCACAGCACCCTGAACCCCACTGCAATGCAACTGCCATGATTTAAATAAACTTCTGTGATTACATATAAACAGAGTAACTGGTGACTGAAGCAGGGAATTAAATGCAAGGAGAGATTCCTCAACATATTAATGAGTGAGCTGAGAAATAAAGGGTTCCTCTGTTCCCATTCCAGAGGCTTCGGATCGCCAGCATTCTAATAGCAGTTGCTTTAACCACCTCACACACTTTCAAAGCCAAAATTAACACCAAGAAACAGAACCCCCCTGCCGCCACCACCACCCAGATAAATCCAGAAGAGACTCAGATTTTCTCTAGAGAAGGACATTTCAAAAGCCTCTCCAGTCTTAGCCCAGCTCACTCTGCCTGCCCTCAGCCACCACTGCCATCGCAGCTTAGAGACCCCACCAGGTCACTCCAGTCCAGCCATTCCTTGATCCTTCCTCAGGTGAAGCCATTCTCAAATTAAATCACAAAGAGGGGCAGCCAGTCTGTAATGATCTGTGTTTATTTAGTAAATGGGTTGATTGCCCTCATTTGTGGAGATTAAGGGTTAATTTCCCAACTGCAAAGAGAACTGATTTCTCGAAGGGCAGCCCCAGGTAATTACCAGGGGAAATCAAGATTCAGATGACTCCCACCGAGGGCAGCGCTGCCACCACCATCACCTCCCACCCCGCCCCTTGGGATCCAGCCGTGGCTTTTCAGCGGCCTTTTCTGCCAGGTAGCCCAGCCCCTGGTTCACTGAGGTTTGGAGGAAGGATTTGGTAAACAATGGCTGAGGAATTCCTAGGCCCCTTTAAACTGACATCTGGCAAATTCGAGATCACTTAACAGTTTCTCCCTCCTGCTCTCCTGGCTTTGAAAGGCAAATGTTTTGAGGTTTGGGTTCTCTTTCACAGAGTTTTTAATCAAGTGGAGTCAAACCACTTTGTCTACACCTTAATTGAAGAGCCTGGCTCTAGAGTTTAAAGTGCCATTTATAATAATAGGGAGAAGGCAGGGAAAAGTGGGGGGAGGGGCTAAGTGGAAATGTAAAAGGGAAGAAAAGCGATGGGCAAGTGGCCCTCAGGAGAACACTCAGGGTGCAGAGCCCAGCCAGATGGAAGCCAGTTATCAGGGGCCGGGAAGAAATGGGCTCCATTCCAGGACCATGCATGACAGTCCCTGTTGTAGGAAGTCCTGGCTTAGGTGAGGAACTAGATCACAAAGCCCTGCTCCCCGAGGAAGAGCCTCTGCAAAGGTACACCCACTGGCTAGGCCAAGGGGCTAGTGGCTGGATCAGGACAATGAGGGTTCTTCTCAGTTTCCTGGCTGTCCCTGAAGTCTTTCCTAAAAGGATCCAATGGAGAGAGAAATGCAACCATCCATCTCAAAACAGACTTGCATGCGTTTGAGGACATAATTAAATGACTTCGTATGTTTTCCCAAGAGAAACCAACACTTTCACCTTGTCTTCTTGTCAGCTGTTTTGGATCCTGGCTTCACATTAGAATCTCTTGGGGAGCTTTTAACAGACTTTCCAGAGGTGGCCCCAGCAAGCAGGTTTTTAAAAATTCAATCTTTCTCCCACCACCCGCACCTCTCCTTTGAGAATAATCGTCTTTTAAACTCATTTGAGGTACTCTTCATACCAGTTCCTTCGTATCACTTAATTTCATTTTCATGTCCCAAGTTTATCTTCAATTTAAGATCGATAGTAGTACATCGTTGATATGCACTTGTGGTCCTTAACTATTCCCAGGTCTTTTGTCCCTAGCTAGTCTTTCTTCTTTATCTCTGCCATTCATAAGTCTTTATTTTCATGAAACCTCATCTGATTGATGAGCTGCACAAATTCATATCAAACATCTGCCTTGTGAAAGGCAACTGAGAAAAATAAGAGAAGATTCCTACTCTCAAGGACTTCCAAATAAACAGGTAAGATAAGAAGACACTAAAATGTAAGAAAGAATACAGTACAAAGAGCTCTCAAAAACATTGGATTGTGCCTACTATTCACCAGGCCATCGCAATAAATAGGACAAATCTTGGCTGTGAACATAGGAAAACCTCAAATAATGTTAGCTAAAACAAAACAGAAGTTTATTTCTATTCGAGAAATCCAGAGGGAGTTTGTTCAGGTCAGCATGGTATGTCACAGTGTCAGCCACCCCAGCCCATTTATCTTTTACTCCTTTCCCAAGGTCACCTCTGGAGTTCTGGCATTAGAAGGAGGGGAGAAGGGGAAATCTGGTTCCCTCATGTTGCACACAACAATATTGTTGACATTGGTGGCCAGAACTCAGTGGCTGCCATTCGGAGGCTGGAAAATGGAATCTTTATGCAACTTGGTCGTATATCCAGCCAAAGACTGGAAGTTCTATCACTGGAAAAGAGGAAAAGAGATATTGTTCCGCAGTCTGGCTGGGCACAAATAACCAAGCTGCCACAAAGCCTTGTAGATTCAAACAGCAACTCTTTATTCCCGAACTCTCATCGGCACTGCACACCACACAGGAACACACTCCTTCCACCGGGCTCCGTGCGCCCAATCTCCCCAACCCCTGGGAGAACTGCTCGGGAACTCCAAAGAAGCGGGCGCCCGAGGCAGCAAGAGCCGCCCTATTGCCCACAGTAAAGGTCAAATATACAATTCAATCAATCCAGCAACACAGCAATTATATATAGCTTAATGCAAATCATCATCTCAATGGTTCGCTGGCTGGCGTCACCTTTCAACCATTCCCTCTGACAAATGCCAGGCGTCATTCTGACTGGGCTGTGGCTCTCAACCATATTGAGGGAAACTAGCATCTCTATTCAATGCTGAGGACACTATATGCTTTAGCATACTTATTTGTTTTTCCAAACAACATAGAAGAAAGAGTTCTCCTGGGACTTTACAGATATTCCTTCTTACACATTTGCAATCACAGTCAACTCAATGTCAGTTGCAATCATGGAAAGTATACTCTGGCATTCTTAATCCAGGCTATTGAGCAAGGTGAAGGTGGCTACAAAAGTGAGCCTTGCTAGCCAGCCCAGAGTGGATGCCTCTGCTAGACTGGTGCTGAGCCTGCGTTCAGCCTTCTGCAGCTAAGGGCCCACGCTGCCCAGGGGAAAGTAGGAAGAGACCTGTTTTCAGCCTTTTCCAGTTCCTGGCACTGTGATTAATATGGTAAAAGACAAGCAGCCAGGGATGCTAGGATTCTGAGGGCAGGAAGAGCCAGGAAGCAACTCTTGTAACCTGGTCTTTTAGTCTTCTTGAAACAAATGTTCCTGTCCCCTTCCTTCTTTTGTTTCTACTTTCCCGGTCTCACTGAAAGTTTCTCATCTTCTGCCAGTATATTTACCTTTAGACCCCCCCCCCAAGAAGAATCTAGTTAGGTGGCCATTTGCTATCTAGCAGGCACACCTGTTGGACAGTGGCCTCATGCCAGACAACCTCATGACTGGGTCACATCATCTATTCCTGCTCAATCTCTGAGGTCAAGGTTCATGTAGTACAAGGATGGCAATGTCAGTCTGAGAAAATGGTACCAAGTGCACTGTGGGAGCAGCAGCTGTTACATTTCAGAATAGCCACTGTGAACTTGAGCCTCATAAATAAGGTCCCAGACCCAACATCACACCATACAACCAGACAGTGAACTAACCCTCTCTCCTACTTTCTATCTTACATGCACACACGTGCATGTGCATACACACACACACACACACACAGAATCACACCTCATGTAAGACTTCCTTGTAGGTCTCATTATTTCCTTTCTCTAGTTCATCAAGTAGAGTGAGGTGTTCGTGAGTGACTAAAAACATTCTATAAGGCATCAGCAGCATCAGTGACACAATGCACTGGTTTGGAATAGAAGTCTGGATCAGCAGTTCCCAAGCCTGACTAACCCAAAAGAATCACTAAGTGAGCTTTTAAAAATTAAATCCCCAAGTCCCACACCAGAGATTCTGACTCAACATTTCTGAGGTAGTGCTCAGGTTTCTGAACTTTCTTCTTTCCTTCCTTCCTTTCTCTTTCTTCCCCACCCCCCTCCTCCTTCTCTCCCTCACAAGTACATTTTATTCCTCAGATGATTCTCATGACCCACCAGGCATGAGCTCCACAGCTCTAACTTCCACCTTCAATTTTCTGGAAGGTTCTCTGGAGACTTTCACCACTGCTGTGAATCTGGTTCTTGTAGCTTTTCCTAGTTCTCTGAAGTGATAGCTTGCCAAAATTCCCTTTGGGGAGAGACTGATCAGCCACCAAATTTCCCACATATTCTAAACTAGATGCCCACATGTCCATCTTATACAAAGGGGATTAAATTGTTCCTTGAGAAATTAGAGAAAATTAATGGACACTTCCAAAAAGGTTTGAGACCTGTATAAGTATAATGTTCAGGGACTCATCACTAACCAGGCTTGATTTCCCAAGCCTAGAATTTGGGGTCTTCTCTAAATGTTGGGATGGCTTTTGATCAGACATATAAAAGGAGTAAGATTAGTCATGTTTACCCTGAAGACATCAAATAGTGCAGTAAGAAGTGAAAAATATTATATAAAAGTTTTAGTCCAACTTGGCTACTATAAAAAGGAATCTATACCTTGAACTTCCCCAGATTGTTATGAAATTAGAGATAGTGTACCTAAACCACCTGGC